TACCCCCCCCCCCCACCCCACCACACACACACACACACACACACATCCCAAATATCAAGACCATACATCGAGCGGTTAAGATTTGTGCCCAACTGTTGCCAGACGCACGGACGGACGGACAATCATGCGATTCTACAACCTGCATCTGACTTTGTCAGCTGAACTAATAAAATGAGGGCAACCACACTATCATGCATCCACATAGCTGCTCGTAATCCTACCCGAGCCGTGGTAAACCAACTCCTTATAATGCCTCAATTATTCAACCCATATATATGCACACATGCTAATTAATACACATTAATTACGGGTTAAAATGTCAAGACATGAGAACCTCATGCGTGAAAGCTAATTAGCTGTATGCATTAGCTATGCATTAATGCATACACTTTCCATAAGACAAACATACAACATTCTGTGGCGTAGGCTCGCTGTACGGTGTAGTTGCGAATCTCGCCAGACCGTCCTTATAGACGTATATGCGAAGTGGGTTACATGACGTCACCACTGTATACACGCGAAGGTCAAACTTGAAGCCATCGATCAGGAATGTCTGAAAAGAAGCAGATTTTGGTATTACCAAACTAGCGATGTTTTAGTTAGTCGATTGTGTATCCAGTTTTAGATTTCATTCGAATCTATTACTACATTGCGTCATCACCATAACCTCAATATCGACTAGATGTATGATGATAAAACAATGTACGTACTGCAAATATCAAAGATACAGGAGTTTTCATAATTGCACTATGTAATTTTACACCTTAAAAATGAATCGAGCTGTTATTACCCTAGACACATAGACCTGGCACACGAGATCATCGAAAGGTTTGATGTCCTTGGGGTTTCTTGTAACAAATATGCCTCTCCCTTGGCATCCACTATCCGGTTTACAGATGTACGTTTTATTCTTCTTAGTTCTAACATAGGTCTGGAAGTCACCAGCACTATGGAGCAAGTACAACAAACTTAAGTGACATGCCTGCACTTTAAATAAATTGAATGAGAATTAAGTTCATTATATATTAATTTACAAGGTGAAACATCCACTATGACATCACTTTGCCCAGTGGGCTTTAAATACCAATACCAATTCATGGGCCTGAGAAAAGTTACATTAAGCACATTATCACAACAGTAAATGAACATTTTTCTGCACGGAAACTGCATGCCTAGACATCCGTAGCACAATTTAAACTGTGCCTGTAAAACCACTGTTACTCCCATATCTGTAGAAACAACAACATTCCCATTACAATTACATGCACTAAGCAAAAGCATGAGCAGAACAGGCATAGGGTTATTTAGCAGAGCTGATCCGACAGACGACACATACTCAGCAGGCAGGCACCACGTGCGAGGAAAGATCGCATACTCCTTAGGGAACTGTTTCTGCATGCGATTCATGTTTCTCGCCAGGAGATCCTTGCGGCAAATTTCGCTCATGCCGGGAAAGTGATTCACTTTCTGTAAGTACATTCCTACTTCACTTACATACACAAGAGCAGAAAAAGTCGCCAGTCAGTCTGTACAAATAAACCACATTAACACCACAGGTTGGATTTTCCAGAACTTCACTGATAGCACCAACGCAATATGACCCCACAATGCCAGTCACAATATTTAGCTGGAAAGAAATCCTATGCACGTCTATTTTGCACAGCTACAAAATGCCAGAATAACCAACCTGTACAGGGTTCTCCCCAGGATGAAATTCAAACAGAGGGGAGGGGTAAGGGTGAGGGTGAGGGGGGGGGAAACTAGGGGGAGGAGGGAGGGGGGAAACTAAGGGGGTCC